TTTTTGAATCTCGATCTTTTTATTGTCAGTGTCTATATTTGAGGTGTATTGTACATAACTACCTAGGTATACCTACTAATTTAATTCTAATAACGAATTTTTATTTTTTATTATACGTACGTWACATTAATTTATTTTAATGTTTAATATGAACCTAATAAAATACATAAAGTGAGTATCAAAAACTTAAGAGTAAACTATTGGTTGCATTCTAGTTGCGTACTTGCGTTCCAAATATAACTACGAAAAAAGAATGAATAGTAATTAAATTATTCCTYAACACAATTATTACTTATTATTTATATACATACTGCTATACTAGGTATTGAAATGTTGAATTATGGTAATTAGAATATATGATTGATGTATAATGACCGTAGCCGGTAGGCGAAGGGAGCCACAATATATTTATTTTACTTTAACTGGCCATCATGTCTGGCGACCGGAGCCGGGAGGTCCCTTGATTTTGAAGACATGAGTAATTTGTGTTACTTAAGGATCAGTATACTTGTTAGGTCACTTATACTAATGGCAGACGAGCTGTGAACCCCGCAGATAACCTAGTATAAGCGATGCGCGCGGCATTAATGTGTTGCGCACATGACATGTATAAAGCGTAAAATCGCAAACTTTGGAAGGCTATAATTTCTAAAATAAAAGTTTCCGGTAAAAAAAAATTATACCATCGCTTTAAGCATAAAAAAACAAGCCGTTAAAAAAAATTGAAAATCGTGAGGGGGTTGGAAAAGTGCATTTGTTCCAAATATGACTAAATAGTAATTAGTTTTGTTTGGCATATTCAAATTTGCATACCTACACAATTTATTTCTTGTAGCTCAGTTAGTTTAAACACATTCTCTAATATTAAAGCTGCACTTCAATCAAAAAATAATTAATACTATAATAATATAAATTATTATAATACAATAGTAACCTTTTGTACGATTTTAAAAGCCAAATTGCTTATAAAATGAATCTAAATCATAATATAAAGTTTAAAATAATTTAGTAAGATCATTGATCAATTAATTAAAATAAAATTGAAATTTATAATGATTAAAGTCTAACATCACTGATTTAAATATAACTAAACAGGGTTTTATTTTATAGAAGACTAAATTTCTCGGTATGCATTTTTCGAAAAATCACTATTGGTATTAAATTGATATTTTTATTTTTTATATAATTGCTGATTAACGATAYTGGAATTAGGATATGTGCTAACTTTTATAGGTTGGCAAGAGCATTTTTTTCGTTCTTATCAGGTTCACTTGTTATCAAAATCGGGAAAACTGTAACCGTCCTGAAATCGAGGTTAAAAATAGATTAAAATAATAATTGAAAAAATATGAAACACAGCGACGTATTGAGGAGGAAAGGAAATTTAACATTGCACCACACGAGTGAACATAAAATATGTTATTTTGTCATAAATTAAATAAAAGCACTGTGGCTCCAAATGTCCGAATAATATAGATACGTTTTCTCAGTTCAAACATTCGTTAGGATTTTAGGAGTGTATTATTGTAGATACATTATTGGCCATTCTACTCTAAAACGATCATATTTATCTAATATTGAACGAAAATGCTTTTCTTTTTACACTCCAATTTATTTTTTTCCAATATTGTGAATACAGATGTTTTTCTTGCTATTTGACGACATATTATTATCGTGATAAATCATTGGTTTACGGTTGTGTAAAAAAGATATAAATAAGTACACGTACATAATATAATATATTTACGATGTCACAAGTGTAACACAAGTCATTAATCATTTGTAACATTGTGTTAGGCAGGTACCCTCCCATAAATGAGGAGCTTTATGACTCTATTCTCGTTTATCACCGAGAAACAACTGAAACAAGTAAGTGTAGATTGTCGATTTTAACGCCTGTGTMCCATTTATTAACAACAAACACATGTGGTTTTACCCATAAATTCATCAATCTGCATAGCTCATTATTTGGTTACGATTTTGGCGACTTTAAGTATGGTATATTTATAAAAACACAAAATTACCTGTTCAAGATGTAGCTGGTAAAAGAATTATAGGTTTATTATACAGTCGTATTTGTCACATTTCTTCTATCATAAATTTAGCTACCTACTGGTTAGTTCGTTTTTTTTTTTTAACTTATATTATAATGTAGGCATTATTCGTATGATAGGGTTAAATTCTTAACACAATATAATATTAAATAGTACGCATATTATACGCATAGGTTGATTGGTTTTCGGAACAAACTAGTGAAGAATACGTTTTTTTTTATAGTTTTATAACTAGATATTATTGATTTATGTTTGTTGTGAAACTTTTAATACTTATTCACTTTACTCGTGTTAATCAGGCATATAATAGTCCCATTATTTAACTATACATCTGCATCAAGAACGTAACACTAGACGTTTTGGTCGTTTGTTCGTAAACTCGTAATAGTACAATGTCACGATTTTTAATAAATTATAAATTATAATCATCGGAAATTATAAAATGTCGAGTTTTGACTTATGAGTACCTAGGTATGTAAATTGTAAAGTATAAATCAGAATTGGTAAATTGGGTCCCAAATGACCCTTACTCGGTAAATAAAGTCCCGGAAAAAACAGGTAGTAGCCAGTAAGTAGGTAGGGTCCCGTCCCAGGGAAAAAAGATAATAGGTCCCAGCTATAAATTAAAAAACAAAAATAAATAAATTTCTTTATTATTATATACAAGATAGAACTGACTTTTGGAATAATTTTTGTTCAAATTAATATTTAATTTTTTTGTTCATTAAATGATCTTGCGCTACATGTATAATAATACATTTTCTATGCTTAATTTTTACTACTAAAAAAAAAAAATTTAATTTAATAAAATTTTTTTGGATAAATTCAAAATAGTCTATTTGTGAATCTGATTATAAGAAAAGTTTTGATGGTAGAAACGATTTATCTAAGTTAAGTATAGTTTATTTTTTTTGGTTTAATTAATATGGAAGTTATATAGTTTTTAATTTATTATTTTTTTTTTTCAGGTATTTAATAACATTATACATCCGTAATGTTATTGAATTTTATAACCCGATTTGAGTTCATTAAATGAATATTAACAAAGTTTTTATCATGTACATAATATATACATATAAAATATAGTAATTACATTTTAAAAAAAAAAACATTTTTTTTTTTTATTAATTTGTATTTGTAATGTTTTTAATCAATATAAATGAAGTATATTATAATGCGAGTACAATATAGTGAAATTTATTTTTATTTTTTTAATTAGTAGCCGGGAGCAATAACCTTTTCCACCGTACATAACTCAATTATACCTACTACCTGTTTTTTCCCGGGACTCAATTTATTACTTTTAAAATGTACCTAACATATCTCAAACCCAATTCACCTAGCCACGTATGAATATTTGAAAATGCACATCACTAATTTAAAAGTTAAAACATCGTAAAAAACAATGAGAGAACACAGGAAATGTTCTTACCTAAAATTTTGGTAATGGATCAATTCACTTTAATATCAAAACTAACAGCACTACAGCACTTATTATTAAAACTAGTGAATGAAAATTTGCTATTTATGTAAGACGGAGACAACACACGCGAATGCGACGTCTTCTTAACGTTAACCATTAACCAAAGTTAAAGAAGTTAATATTTTTGGTAGGTAGTATAGGTAGGTACCGGCTATCATTATCATTACTATTATTATTATTATTTATTAAAAATAAAATAACAGACTAGACATACTGTAGAGGCCACCCAGTGGAGGTAGTACGACATGATAAACGGCTTCTTTATAATAGAATTTCATACTCGACTGGGCGTCAGCGCGTACACCCACTCAGCAATATTCCAATATTAGCTTACTCGGCGACATTTCAGTTTGACTAGTGTATTATAGGTAGGTTACTAGGTTAGGAATATAATGTTATATATTTATACCTATTATAGTGTCCATGCGAGTTTTTTATGAGGTGTAAAATAATATATTATGATAATAATTAAAAATATAATTTATAAAATAAAATATAGTTGTTTAATTTGTACACAGGTTATTATAGGTATTACATGTATATAGTATAATAATGTAATAATAATACTCCCTTATAATTATTTATATGTTTATATATATTACAAGCTTATTGTAAGTAGGTATATTACATATAGTATACATTTTGGAGTACTTATTAAAAAATCTTTTCAGCTATAATATTATGATTATGCTTGCGTTATTAACGCGACGATATTTGTCAATAACATATAATARTATAATATACACATAGGTTGATAGGTAGGTCCTATTTGGGCATCACAGGTACATATTATATTTAAACATTAAATTATGAATATTGATCGGTACACTCCAGTGCAACCACAGAGTCTAGCCTTGAGCGCTGGCAGTAACTTGGCGACGGACGTGAAGTCTTGTAGCAAATTGGCACACTCGCACATCAGCACGTACTGTTTGTCTCCGTTCGATTGCGACTTGTGTAACGTTATCCTCCTCAAACCGGCGGATTTCGGTAGATAGTTGTAGATCATGCGTGCGCCTGCAACGCATCGATCGGCCATTCAAATAACACACACGCGGCCAACACGATATTTTAAGGGGTTTGGAAGTGGTGATTTTTTATATAACAATGATGGATCTAGTGAAGTAACAGGAAGTGAGTGAGTGAGAATTATTCTAAAAAAAGATTRGAATTTGCTGTCAAGACGTCGAGTCTATACTATTGAGATCGACTTTCCCAGGTTTTAGATTTTTTATTTAAACTACCACTCCAAACATTTAAATATTCCATTTACTTCTTTAGG